AATTGTAGGTATGCTGCAATGAATCACTCTTGTGCCTCCTGGTGATCAACTACAGAGTAACATTGGCAGAAACCTGGAAACAAGTCACTTGGCTGTCCTCTTGACTGCGGACAATGTACAGAGTGTACAAGAGTGGAAGGAGTAAAGTGTAAAGATGGGATAACAATTTAAAATGACACAAAACAATATGGTGTTACCTCTATCATTAAAAAGCTAAATGAATTAATTTCATAAGCAGGTTGCATTGATAATGAAAACTAGTTACATTTCATGGGATAGTTTTCTTCATTCTTAAAACACATGCAAAGTTTTAGAAATTAAATTATTGCACATATTTTATAAACAAATAAGTTAGCAAATACAGTACTGCAAATTAGATCCTTTTGTGCTTATTAATACTGTACAAAAATAACATCCTCATTAATTATAAAATAGGACCAGAAGCAGCTAATTTGAAACAGTGATGTTCTGTTTAATTCAAACAGCACTTACATTAGGAAAGAACAGCTTGGACATGAAACATATCCATTACAATAGTAAGAATTACAATATTAATCTTACTCACTACCTTCCAGCCCTTTGAGAAGCAAATATCAAATCAAAATATTTCTGAAATAAACGCAAAGTTAAATCTTTTCATTCCTTTTAGTTGGGCAACAAATGCCACATTTCAAAGTTGTTAGAATAAATACTGTGTAACGTTTCATGTTTTGTTCCCCCTTTTTATATTCAGCTCCATTCAGTTCAACTGTTATAAAAAGGCAGCAGTGGAGAGATTTTGAAATGTTTGGCTGCAGGTTCCCACCTAAGGAAACGTAATCACTGTGCCCAACAATAGAAAACTGCACCTAAAATGGATAATGTAAATGCTTATAATGAAACATGTTTCCCCCAAAGAATTTGCAAGATCACTAATTAGATGCAGATCACCAATATGTTTCTGTTCAGACAGAGGCTAACTAAAAGAGTTCATTTTTGTTTCAAATTACCCTTATCCAATGACGAACACACTTGAAAACAACTTGAAAACTGGTAAAGTCATATTGCCTGTTGATGTTATACCCCCATGCAAGAACAGAGACACAACAAAGAGGTTGTCTGTTTTGCAATTTCTGAAGGATTCTATGTCCAATGAAGCAGTATCGGCACTGGCATCAGAAGTGTCCTTGCAACAATTTCAGTCAATTATCTTGTCTGCCAAAATGTGTCTATTGTGGTGATTAGGCCACTTTTTTGGACAGCTGATTTTTTGGACCACAGGGAAAGTTAAGATTACATCCCATTCCCAACTGCTTTTTTCTAAAAAAAAACTCCCAGTCTGTTAAACTGCATTTATTACTTTTCTGTAAACAAACAATGCTTGTCTATTCAGCCAACACAGCCCAATCAAAAGGATGGAGAATGGAAGAAAAGCTAAACTTAACATTATTGTTGTTCTTCATCGGTCATGTCAAAACTTCCCTAAGAAGCAAAATGCAAACTAATCAGGCAGAGGCAGAAATTAATATTTACAATGTAAACTGAACATAACATGCAAGTGATCTAAATTGCCAAGTCCTTCCCCAATACGTTGTAGCCTTCAAGAAACATCTGGATTCCACAATAAATCTATAAAGGTGAGGTTAAGAGCCAAAGACACCATTACAAATAGATCATTGTCTTTAGATTTACATTTCTAACACGCACATTGCAAAGTTTTCTTAATACTATTATGATAAAAATAAGGCACCGATAAGATCGGTGTTTTGCAGGCATTAAAACGTGAGAGAACACAAATGTGTCATATAATGTGAGGGTGCAGATAAATATAAAATGCAAACATAGCAAGCATTTTATCTGTTCTGTGTGCTTTCATTGCCATGAAATCAGCTTCTGACATTAATACCACATCAAGTCACAATCCCGTTTAGTTATTGCATTCATATGAAAAACTGGTGATCAAGCATAAAATACAGTGGAACAAATTTGTGTGCCAGCCTTCTTAAAAAATGGCAAGTGAGAAAATTATAAATCATTGCATCAATACTCACAGTCTGTTCAAAATAAGGTCTCACAAACATACAACCTCAGCACATCCCATTATGGTACAGCATTCTACAAGATGCACAAAAGTTGATTTAAAAAATCACGATCGTCTTGTTCATTTCAAACAAATGCACAGGTTACATTTGCATGGCAAGAACAGAATTCTTGATGGGTATTAGTGTCTTCAGCATGACTTGTGATTGATTTTATACATGTTGGTTAAATACCTTCAGACATTTTTCTATCAGTACATTACAGTATCGGTTCTGGTCATGTTTTATGTAACAACTATTTATCTTGAGGTTACACTCCATTTTAATTATGCCCAATGTATCCCTTCCCTATATCAGCATTATCCATGTTTGAAGTTGGATGATGAATTCATAATTATCGACTCATAGCAGCAGCTGCAGCATGGTACAATTAATATTTGATTAAAAATTAATGATGGCTACGGGTAACCTCTCATTTAAACACAGATTTTACAACACCAAGTAATTCCTTTCATTTTTACTTGTAGTACATTGCTCATCCAGACTCTTTCAGGTTATTTTCAAGAAGGAACTGTAAATCAGTGAGGTTGTAAATCCTATTTACTTGTGTGCCTGCAAGTTTTTTTTGTCCATTGGTGTATTGTGTCAACTATTTTCGTAATCGTGTTTCTGTAATCAACAATAGAAAGGGGTGCAAAGCGTGCAATATGATGGCTCCAGTTAGTGACTCATAGACTGCAGGACAGACCAGATTATATTTGAGTGAAATGATATGATGATAATTTAGCCAAACATTAATAATACACTGCACTTCAGCCCAAAAGTCAGCTTCTACGTTTCTTTTCGATTCTCTTCTTTGTGTCTCATTTTCTCGTCTCCTTCGAACTGCTTTTCGTTCTCTCTTCCTTTCAGATCTCATTTCATTTCTTCTGTTCACTTTTTCACCGCTCCCCACTGTCACCCCTCTTTCTACTGATTTCTAAAGTTCCCTTTGTCATTTTTTTACTCTCTTTCCTCATGTTCTGCGAGCTTCTTGGGTTTCTTATTTCATTCAACTTCAATCTTTTGTTTCTACTTATGTCGCTTGCCTGCCATCCTATCACCTATTCTATTTCCTTTATTTCAGTTTTCCTCAATTTTTCTCAAGTACCTTCACTTCAATGTTGGCCTCTTATTTTTCTTGTTCTCTTTTATTCCCAGGCGAATACAAATATAAGCAAACAGAGCCCAGTGAAATCTTTTGAAACTTTGTTTTATCAGTTCAAAAAGTTTCTGCTTCTCACTTGGTTCATCTGTACTGCAGCCAGTGTGAAGTTAAAGTGGCCAGTGCCTGACTACACTTCCTCGATGTGGTGATTAAGGGGATGGATCCCTTACTGGCAGCTCAGGTAGGAAGATGAGGTACTCATCATCAGCACCCCCGAATGCAGAGATTTTAATTTCCGTTCTTTCATTTACTTCTTAGTTTATTCCAGCTCGATTGAATTTCTTTCTCACTGGTTCATCGTTTTTTTTCTCACCATGATTTTTCTCTCTCGTTTCTTTCTGCCTTTGCCCCATTTCCACATTGTTTCTTTGTTTCTCTTATTTTTCTTCTATTGTCCTATTTTCTTCCCTTCTCTTGTCCTGCTTTGCATTCACATTTCTCTTAACTTTCTTTTGGTTTCTTCCTTTTACTTATACTTCTTTATTGCTACTGCCTTTTAGAATCTGTTCCACTGAGCTACATTTTTCTCTCAATCCTATTGCCAAATTTTACTTTTTACTTAGTGCCTCTAAGCCATATTTTTCCTCCAATGTAATTGTCCACTGCCTCCCTTCTTCCCCTAAACTGTTTCAAGCAACTGTCCAACATTTTTTATCATCCAGACTCTATGTTACTTTGACAGAATGCATCACTTCCTTCACTATGTGTCCTGGTTTCCTTCAATCATTTTGTCTCAGTACCTGCTTGACCTGCTAGCATTTTCCTTCCTTCTCCTCTCACACACACCACTCACTTCACCATTGTAGACAGAGCAGGCTATATGGTAAGATTACTTTCCAAATCAACCAACATTGTGGTAAGTGAACATGTATAAATCAATTAGAAAAGCAAAGAGTCATTTTTTGGGGCAATTGTAGCCTAGCATAATTTTTGGGAAAAGTACTTTGTTCAAAAGTATAGCGGTTCAGCTATGCAATAGCCTAAGCTGGTGAGGTTACTGTCATTGATCTAAGAAAACTATGCAAATTAGCTGGCTTTTTTCACTGCTCCACCTCAGTTTGATATCATATTCCTTTTTAAATTGAATAACTTTCATTACTTTCCATGCATGTATCAGATTAGTAGTTTATTGCCTGTCAAAACTGCCTTATTACAACTAAGTCCATCAATCCTAAGTACACCCTGTAAAATTACAAACTGCAATGAAACAGAGGCCAATGAATCAGAGTATGCAGAGCCCACTAAGATTTTTTTTGTATAATCGGACTGCGATTAATAATTTAATGATTGGTAACTCGATACCACGGATCTAACGTAATTACCTACTTTCAGTGATACTCAAAGCAAGGCCAGGAGTCCTTCAGCGGTCATTTGTTGGCCTCAGCAGACCTGCTGCTCCAAGTGTTTCTGGGCCTCTATTCATAGTTGCTCTGCCATAGGAAACTGTCAGAACTAGGAGCAAAGAAAAGTGCTCGGTTCAGAATACAGACCTATAGCTTTAATGGAACTATTGGTCTTCTGTTTTCCTTCCCCTCTCCCTCCTGTGGGGATGAGTTTGGGCCTGACCTGACAAAGGCTCACACTGGAATGATTGAAATCAAGAGCTCACACTGTGAGTGCAAACCCAGATTCTGTTGCTCTATAGTGCTGGGTTTTGGAGCATTCCTGGAGCAAGACATGGCTGGAATTATCGGCCTCAAGAAAATATTAGTGAGTATCACTGATGTTACCATTCTGATTTATGCTTACTAAAAAGGATAAACCTTTTGTCTTTAAAATAATAATAGAATTATAATACTTCAAAATAAAAATAAACAATGCATTTGTTCATCAACTAGCTGACCTAATTTAATAACAAACATTTAATGTTTTCCTTTGAGTACCTTTATTTTTTTTAAAAAACTTTAAACAAAGAATAGCTATGCTTGACAGGATGCATCATGCATTGTTTTTTGTAAAATTACATTCTCTCTTTCTTCCAGTTTCTTCCTCTTATTTTAGTTCTTCTATGATCCTATTTTTCCTTATTGTTACTATTTTAATTTTTTTTTCACTGACTTTAATTTCTTTCAAAGCTCCATTGTCAATCTGAATTTTCTCATACTAGTCAACTGAAATGACAATGTGACCTATTAATGCACATACACTCAAGACACTTCAACACTGTTGGAGCCTTGTAAAGCAAAACAACATGATCTATATTTGTCACCATGATTTAAAGATGTCAAATAAACAAACCTACTCACCAACATTGCCAGATGGTTTCTCAAGGTAGAGGGATAATCTTACTTCACCAACTCTTACCCAGATATATTCATAGGACTTTTGGCCAACAACCCAAAAGTGTCTGGATGTGCCTCTGACCAGCATGATCAAATCAAGACAATTTCATTATCTGTGAAAAAATGATGACCAATGAACCTTAGGCCCCAAATTCCACCTAGTTCTAAGCCGGTCTAAGATAATTCGGTCATTAAATTTAAAAGTTTGCACAAATTGTGGAAAACTCTTCAACTTAGTTATAGTTTGGGAGCCCTGCTTTGAGAATTGTGGGAAACCAGTTTCTAATTTATGATGGATTTTAATAATTTTTTACGATTCTGCTTCATCTTAAATTTTACAACAAAATCACCTTCCAGGTTATCAAGTAAGTGGAATTTCAGGCCTCTTGTGTATTGTGCTGTTAATGAATGTCTGAATGCGAAATTAAAGATTTTAACATGAAAGTCTGTGTTCTGGAACCATCAAAACACTCAGAAAACAGTGCTATTAATGGCTTCTAGTTTGGTGTGCCAAATCCTATTATTGTGTAAAGATCTGGACTTCATGGGGCAATACAAACTGAATCACAATGTGAATTTTTCATGAAGTTTGTGACGTGTGTTGTGTTGAGAGTAAATGATACACATTATACATTAAATTGTGTTCCCTCGCATTTTCTTTACAGTCATTTCTTCTCCAGCATTTATCATAAACTGAGCCCATAATAAGGCATTTTGTTCCACAAGCTGGACGACGGACTCAATAACTGTTGTAATAAGTTGTTCCTCTGTTGTTGGTTTGGTAAGAAAGAGTGTGGGTGAAAGGAATTGTATTGACCCGCTAAGCCAAGGGCCATTGCCGTCCACAGCCCATCCATTAGGATTCCAGTAAGGAATGCCATCGACACACCTGTTGTCCTTTTGATTCTTTCATTTCAGTCCAATGGTTCAGCTCCTCCTCCCCTGAGCTGTTGAGGCCGAGTGAAATCCAGCCAATCATTTCCTTGCGTTTCATGCTCCGTTTGTTATACACAGACAGTATGAGTGTCACGTCTGAAAGTTGAAAGAGTGCTACCTGAAAAATGAATGTCTCCTTGTACAGAGGGTTTGGCTGGCCTCGACGAATGGACGTCTTACATTTAGACATCTCCTGTCCCATAGAATTCAGCAGTGTTAACTTGACATACGTGTCTGGAAAATCAATTCAGTTTAATAGAGGCATTAGAAGCACAAAGTACTGCTTTTACAATGCAACACTGTTACCAATATCAAACACTTAGCAAGCTTCCACTAGCCACAGCACTTAGTAAGCATACTAGTTAGTTTCCATTAACGGATATACAATACATAAAAAAATAAAAAGGGATGCCTAAAAGACAGCAGAGGTGATGAAAAATGAATCAGGAACAAGGGGCAACAGGGAGCACAGAGAATGCCATCAAAACAATTTGGTATGGGATGGTCACTAAATATAGCAACTGTTGGAATAACAATCTCTCCATGGTTTGTTTTGTGTTTAAATTTTGACCTAACTGACAACAGTAGGGAAAGGCTATAAAGAAAATAAATTTGTTGTTGCGTGAGATTAACTGAATTGGTTTGATATTCTGGATGTCAGTTCTGGTAAATACCAATATTATGTAGAAAAAATTCAAAATATCGCATCTGGTGTCAAGATTTCAATTAAATCCGACGTTTTATCGGTGGATAACACCATATATATGTTATAGTAGCAGTGCATGCCTTAACATGCAGTTGCCTTGAAATCTCTGTTTACTTAAAGAACAGAATTTGTCAGACAGATGTTTTCTTTCTGTAATTAAAATAATTAAAATAAAATTGCATTCAACAAAGTGAGAAATAACAGGGCTCAACAATGTTAAGTGCTAATCTTAGTCAATAGTCATAATGTTAAGGTATAACATTAAGCTTCATTCAGTGTCCAACTTCCCCCACCTCTCTGGCCCAGGTCCAACAACATTTCTCATTCCTAACCTCACAAAAACATTCCAACTGTACTGTGAAATTTCCATTTTATTTCAGGCTTCTTGAGTGAGAGTGCCAGATTAGTTCCAATTGCTGCTGAATTACAGCTAGTTGTGTGCTCTGAACTGAAATCCACTTGAAGCTGAATTGAACCAAGGTTCGCTTCACTTCAGACCATTAATAACTGGATTTAAACACAGACCCCCAAATTGCAAGGAGAGTGTAGAAACCTAATGTGCCACCAAAGCTTTTGCTATCCACATCACAAACATCTCTTCAAAATGGAAAATAATATCTGCCTTGCCTTAATGCATCATATGCAATGCTACAGATCCATTTTGCAAGGGATGGTGACCTCCTGCTGCACTGAACTGTTGGACATTTAGGCTCCTCTGAAGTATAAATGACTTTTGTCTTATTATCAAAATCTATTAAATTCACATTATTTTGTCAGAATAGTGAATAAAACACAATGGATTGATAAGTACATTAGCGTCTTGTTAATCTAAACACTGCCAATCTCAATGCCTTAGTGATGCATCAAGCATGCATCAAAAATGACTGGGGTAATTTCTCTATACAAATTTGACTTGTTTATCTTAGAGACTCATTAAACCAACTGGATTTGATCCAGAATGCAGTGAGGTTATTTAGTCATCTCTGTACTTTTATTTCGAATTTCCAACTTTTAAATATTGGAACCTTTCACACACCTCAGCTATGCTTAACCCAGTTGGCCAGCCAAAAATATTCTGAATCAAAGCACAACATTCCACCAGTACAGATCACATCCTTTCGTTCTCAATATTAAAATTCAGATCAGAGGACAACGCTAAATATTCAATATTAAATTCTTGACTTAAATGATCTCCATTTTCAAAGTTCAGCACTCCAATCTCTAAAGTCTACTATAATCCATTGAAAACAACACATTTTTACAAATTATGCAAAATAAATATTTGTCTTAAATGCTCTGAGTGGTCTTTTCAGTTTCCATTGACTGATTAATTGAATAATCAATTGATGAATGGTTGGGCAGTGGTTCAAAGATTTGTCAATTGATTGTTTTTATCTGGAGATTTCTAGAAATCCTGATCAAAGCATTAAATTTCTTGGCAAAGCACATATGTATTTGTCAGGATTCAATTGCATCTTTGTTTTTAAATTTAAAAGACTCTAAACTTCTAATATTCTTGTACTGTAAAGAGTACTGGCATAAGAAGCTAATTTGATGCCTTTGTATCTACCCTAAATTACTTTTCCCATAAGGAGAGATGGTTAGTTCCAGATGTACAGTTTATTCTGATCACAGAAAATAACATTAGTTAAAAGTCTCTTTTAGTAAGCCAGCGTGAATGGTGGACAGCTTCACTGCTGGCAGGTTTCTTTCACATGAAAGAGACAAGAGCCACTCATAGTGATCCTGTACTGCAACTCACCTCGGATTATATAAACCTGCCCACCTATCAAGTGTTTTAGACAACAGAACAGTCCATCTGACAACAGGGGGTGGAAAGCAGTAAAAGAAATAATGGCCAGATGTCAGTAGTGAGTGAGAAAGGGTCATAGGTCAAAAGTTAAACGAGGAACAGTGTTTACTGTAGTGGTAAAAATACAAGAGTTTAACAGTTCAGGTTACAAGGAAGGGTTGAACAGAAAGGGTTATTATCACACGCGGTGTAATTACACCGCCTCCCCACATTATCATGCCCCCAAAATGTAATCTTACTTCATCTTTCAAAAATGTAATTTTTGGCAATCCAAGTACAGTATTTTGCTATTCCTTCCCTCAACACAAACAGTAAATACACAAAGAGCTTGTTTCCCTTACACTGAGTGACATTACACTGCAATTTGACCAACATGTAAAAACATTGGCACTAGTCTTATTACTGTACTTATAAATTTAAGTGAGTCTTTAATTTGTCAAGATAGGAGACATCAAACTACAACATGGTCTTATTTGTGAACATGAAGGAATAGGCCTTCAAATGTCACTCAAAGTAGGTTAACAAGTCCTCTGAGATATGTAAATTTTCACAAGGAGCTTCTTGCCAAGTCTTTAATCCTTGATGCAGTTTCTTTCCCCAAACAGCAATGGTGCAACAATTACCATTTTATAAGAAAAACTTGTACTTTATGACTCTCTATTTCTTCAGAATATTTTAAAGTAATTCACAAGTAATTACTCCCAAGAGTAGTGACTTTTTTTTAAATGCAACTTTGGTAACCATTTGCACATCCCACAAAAAGCCAGGCAGTGAATGACCAATTAATCAGGAGCACTGTTGGCCAGGACACTGGCGGGGGATTAATCAAGAGGATAGTTGGTCAGGACACTGGGAGAAACCTCCTTGACTTTTTAAAGAGTGTCATGGAATCTTTAACATCAACCTGAAAATTGATAGGTTGGGCCTTGATTTTGCATCTCAGCCGAAATACAGCACTTCCAACAGTGCAACACTTACCCAGTACTGTAGTCTATGAGCTCATGCACCGATGTGGGGCATGAATCCACCTTTTGACACAGACTAGAGTGCTGCTAACTGTGCCAAATTGTCACATTTTAAAGAATAAGCAATAGAAATGTTTTAACTTTGTACTTTTTACCTAATAATCTCATGCACAAAACGTCAGGGCCCTCCCTACATGACCAACTCAACCAAACAAATTCCCAAAAGGTTAGGTCAGATACATGACAGAATAATGGCAGAAGCAAATGATGCAGAAAAATATAGTTAAAAAGATTCAAAAGACAAATGTTTAAATGCAAATGAGCATATTAATAATAATAATAATCCTTGCATTTGATATAGCGCTTTTCACGTCTTCTAGATGTCTCAAAGCATTTCACAGCATATGCTGTATATTGTTGCACTGTTACTGTTCCTATAAATCACGATTAGGCCTAAAATTAAATACATTTAGGTACTGAATACATTCATCTACAACTTGATTCACACATTATGTGTTTACTAATATCCAAAGGTAATACAACAGTTTTACCTCAGGGTGTCAGTAAAACTGTTTATATGTAAACACAGTCATTATTATGTAACGTTTTAATTCACAGGCTTGCCAACGTTCAGTTTTCAACAAATTTAAATGGTTATTTTCACAAATGTAGCAGAGAGAAAAAAACAATAACTTGCAAACAAATTGTTTCTACAGAATTCCAAAATGTTTCTGAATCATGGCTGAAGGCACCAAACCATCATTATATTTTGCCAGAATACCTGAGTCCAAATCTCAGTAAAATAACTGGCCACTATACATTTGATTGTAGTTTTAAAAAATGGTCTTTATTTTGTGTGAACGGGTCTAATTCTACTGAATCATACTTGAGCTTAACTGTAGTTTTAATCATTCTGTAATAGAATATATCATTTACATATGATAATTGTTTTAAAATCTAGAATCATAAAATGTTTGCAGCATAAAAGCAGGCCATTTACGCTAGTGTTACCAATCGTTGATGGAGCTCTCCCATTTCTCACACTATTTCCTCAAACCCTTTGATTGAATTTCTAATATCCCTCTTGTTTCCTTTTTGGCAATTAGTAGAAATGATCCTTCTCTATTTACCTTATAAAAATAATTAATTTTGGAATTCTTTATTAGATTCCTCTAAACTTTCTCTGTTCTAGCAAAAACAGTCCCAATGTCTGCTCACATTGCCATTTTCAAGACCAATGTTTCTGTACTCCTAGATCTCTCTGCTCTTCCACTAATTTAAGAATGTTAACATTAGGGTGTATTTGTTTTCATGCTCTTCCTCCCAAAATGGCCTATTTTGCATTACTCCATATTGTGTTCCATTTAGCTAACCCACGTCCTTCTATAGTTTTTTGTATTTCTCCTTAAAGTCTGGCACCCTCCTACAACACACATTTAGACAACCTTACCCTTCTGCCTAAGTCTAGATTTAAATAAGTGTTGAAAATTAGGTCCCTAGCACAGTGCTGATGAATCTTTAATAATATCCCAGTATGAAAAACATCCCTTTATCTCTATGATCTGTTTCTTGTCATTCCGCCATCTCTCTGCACCTGATGCATTGCATTTCTGTTTAAAAATTTGCTCCAAAGTACTACCCAAATGTTAGAAAACTAAATGTTTCCCTTGTGGGTGATTGCGATGACTAAAGAAAGGTATACACCATTAATCTATTAATCTATGGAGTGAAGGAAGCAGGCAATGATAGAAAACCCTTAAAGAGGCCCTTTCCCTGCTATGTTTTTTGAAATTGATTTGAGACCGTACATTACATTTTCCCAACATCCCTTTTTAATTTTCCTTCTTTACTTTCATCTGCTCATATATTTTCTAAATTTGTTTTAATTGTCAATTTAATTACAGATAATGGCAGTGGGATGAATGCATACTATAGTGCCTAGGTGACATACAGAGGAAATATTGCACAAAAAAAGGATTTTTGTTGTTAAACAGAAAAATGGATGTTGTTTCAAAAGCTAATTTACCAATGTCATTTAAGCTCTAAGGTTTCTCTTCAATGGTATAATCTTACAGAAGATATGTCTGTGCACAAATACATTTAGTTTTATTTCTTTGGTGGTGAATATCAGGAATGGGGAATGGATATCATCAAGGTGGCTCAGGTCAAGTACTGTAAAATGCAATCAGATCCAGAGCAAAGCTACTCTTTCCCAACAATTTATTTTGATCCAACCTCAACACTGCAATAATATAATATTGTCCCCACTACCACAGCAGTCATTCTTTTTGTCTAACTGAGTTATCTCAATCAGTCCTGAATGTTACTGATGTCTATTGGAACCTTACCTCATACTGCCCCATGTCATTTCCCTTAGTACCATCAGCAGGCACTGCTGAGCAGATTTCGCCTTCCAACAGTCAAAGTTGCATTCAACTTACATCCCAGGGGTGAAAGTGTGCTTTCTTTTTACATTTGCATCGTCAAATTATACATCTTTCTTGTGCTAGACACGCACAGGGAACAAATGTAATTCAGCTAAACATTTTTTCCATTACCCATGAAACAAACTAAGAAGGAGAAAATTTAAAGAATTCAAAGAGCTACACAGCAGTTGGAACCTGGTACTGTAATAGGAATCGTTCCATGAATACAGTGAAGGGGGTGCTGTCTTTATTACGTGTGTACCATCTGGTGAAATCTGGAAGTAATAAGAATTTATCGCGTACACTAAAAACAAAGCAAACAATCATAAGACGGATGCTGACTTTTCTTAAATCCATGGAAAGATCTGGATGTCTCACAATTGTCTTCCAATTCACAAAATAAAAATTGAGATTGCATTCCTCACTATACATTATCCTGCATATATTTCTTCCTGAATCAGCTTTAGTGAAGATGAAACATTCAGGATTTCACAAAAAAAACTAGAATCAGTTACCAATGAGCATTACCTTGTATGGATTTTTAAATAATAGCAGAAGGAAAATATAAATCATTTGATGACCGACTGAAAGCCTGGACTATTTCAATAAGATTACTTTTCAAATTAAACGTTACAGTTTCAGTCAACACTAGTAACATTCATCATTTGATTCCAGATAATCCTTGTACTCACTAGGTGGTCTGTTCACTGCCAAGTTTCTGAAATGGCTTCCTTTTATAACTTCTACTGATAGTCTGCCAGTGGTGGCATTGTACAGCAGACCAACGAGTATTTCTGGTGCGGCACCATGTGCCAGAGACTGGCAGGAGGAAGTGCTTTCACTGCAGGACATCTCAGACATGCTCACCTGGGAGTCACAGCCCTGGGAATAAAATATTAAAAATATTATCATTTATAATTATCTTTATGTACAGAACAATGCAGTGAACTTGCATATTTGGCTGTAACAGTTAATCAGAATCGTTTCCTCCACATAAATAGTTATTTTTTCTAACACAAACAACCATCATATAACCACATAAATCTGTTCAAAAGATGTAAATCCACTTTACATCCATTTTACAGTTTATTCTGTGAAGGGTCTCAATGGTGTGAGAGGCTTTATATCAAATGCAAGGATTATTATTATAACAGAAGAGATGTTAGTCATGTCAAACAATTGGTACTTTTGCAATTCAATGTCTGTAAATTGAAATAAAAGCCACATGTTTTAACTTTACAAAGAAAGTAGGTATTAGGGATCACCTACGTAAAGGAGATCGAGTCAGATACGATCACATCATGACCCATGTTAATCTCCTATTGCAACTAACCACAGGAGAGATCAAATCTGACAACATACACTGAGACCACAATAGAAGACCTATGTATAGTATTACATATCTATAAGTAGCCATTCAACAACAGCTGAATGAATAATTAGAATCAAAGCCATATTGGAAGCCACCCATCTAGAAAATTATCCAAAATAAGTTCCTAAGGGAACTTTATTGTTTGATCAGTTTCATGTTTTCATCAAGGAAACACCTAGCTGTTACCATTACATGGTTCTATCACCCACCAATAGGATGTACAGCAATAGCTATCAGTCCTTTCTTACTTCATAGTTAGGTGACTGTACCATAAGAATATATTAGGCAACTTTATAGACATGAGCTGTACATGTACCATTTGTGTTTATGTAAAATGAGGAGCCTCCAGGGTCCATATGGACTTCTCCTGACACTTTAGGCATTAGTAAACACCTTCATACATTCCTAGAGCCTTTAAGGGGAAGATATTCTGGCAGACTTTCAAGAAGTAGTTTATCACTGGTAGAGCAACTCACATCAGATTGAGACGTGTTGTGTATACTGTATTTGAAAGCAGGTATGGAGCAAAACATCAGGTAGCATAAAACAATTTTAAGAAACAATCTAAAAATAAGAAAAAAGGTACATGACAGTGGTTAGCTGATTATGCAATTATGGGTGGAAAGCGCCATTATAGCTCACCCCAACCATATGCTCAAACAATGTCCACACACAAACTTCCCAGCAGATTTCACCGGATAGCAATTAGGAACTTAAATCCTGACAGAATTTCCCCCTTCCAAGCTCAGGATGAATGAAGTCAGCAAGACTATTGTCCTCTTGTTTTAAACTAGCTCATTCAGTGTAACCATTTCAAAATGCGTACATTTTTATTAGTCCAGATTCTTCCCATCAGTAAGGTTACAGATGTGTCTTACTATTAAAACTGACCCACACACTTTCAGATACCACCTCTGAAAGACATACCCAATTTATTGTTGGTGGAAAAAGTTTTGTTCAAGGCAAACCACGTCGGATTATTAACCACTCTTCAAAGGCTCAGAATCTATTAGTTACTTGTCGTGTAAAATTCTGTGAAGCTCCACCCAACTCTTCAGTTGAAGCTGAGGATTGTAAATATTTGTCAATTTTTATCCAATATAGTATAGAAATGTACTGGATTAGAAAAGACCATGGGTGATCTCAAGGCTAAAAAAAAATACATTATTCTATCTGTCATTTCCCCCAATCGATTTAATCAGAAAATAGCTATCTGTTTCTCTTTGAATCTTGGTACAGTCAGTCTCCACCTATGCTCCAACTTTAACCCCACAGCGTTAGAGGAACAAGCTATGAGAAACAATAATATAAGCTTGGGTTCTTCATCCTTAAAAAGGAATGTCTTGCGGGACCTCACAGAGGTACACAAGATGCTAAATGGGATTCAGAAAGCCAAGCCAGAACAATACTTTCAGATACACTAAGGCAGCAGGACAAGAGGGCACAGGTTCAAGGTAAAGGGCAATTGCAGCACAGACACCAGAAAGTATTTCTTTAAACAGAGTGTAATTTTTAAAAAATATATATTTTTCTCATCCTCAGAATGTGCTGGAAAAAGAAACAAGTTTCCCTGAACTTTATACATGAATTTCAAATGATTTTGCCCCTCAGCTTATAAGTCCATCCTTTTAATATGAGGAAGAGAAAATAGTTCCTTCTTATCTGTTAAGCACTTTGAGGTATTATGTATGCAAGTTATTATAATATTTAGTAAAAAGATTATTAAGATGGAACAGATCATACCCCTGAGCTATGAGGGAAATGTTGCACTGTAGTCAAGCAAAGTAAGCTAAATTTAGACTGTATAATACAGCAACTTTTTATAAAGCAAAAATACTGTTTGTGCGCCGCAATCAGAATTATTAAAGATCTTAAAACAAATGAATTTGTATCCTAAATCCTTCCTATTTACCAATTACTGTATGTGTTTCATTTCCTTTCAATGAAGAGTCAGTCTGCAGAGTCTCTGGAATGTTAAGATTGCATTTTCAAGTCTGAGGTGTATCTAGTTTCCTGTCATATACTATCATTCAAACTAAATAACACAAAGCAGATTGAAACAGAAATATGAAACCGATTTACTGAATTTCTTCATTAAATCTCTGGATCTGAAGGTGTCTCAGTGCTTTCATTTTACAATATTGTAGAAATTCTGCAAGCAAACATATTGGAAGCTCCAACACCCCAGCAAACACTTGCAGCTCTTGGAATCCATGATTTTCAAACACTGATATTTGGAACCTCTTCTTTTAAGCAGCAAGCAGGAACCATAAGAATTTTCCGTGCTGTTAAGGTTTAGCAACAACTGGATATGAATTTTATAAACTGAATATTTTTTAACTGCAGGGTTTGACAGTATGATTAGAAGGTAAAAATACAAAGCTAGCAGTAAAGCACACAAAGAAATATCACTGTAAAAGAAAAAAAATCTCCAATTCTGTAGCTCCTTTTATATCTTCAGGTCCCTTCATTACAAAAATAAAATTGGTCACTCACTCCATGGCTGTTGTGGGACATTACTGTCCAGAAATTGGTTGCCACATTCAGGATTATTTATTATTTATTATAATGGTCTCTGTCTTACATCATGAACTATCCCCTCCATCCTCACAGAGGAAAAATAAACAAATCACTGCAACTTTAAGAAAAGCGATATGTAACGATGTATATTAATATCAAGTATTGATGCCTATAGGGAATTTAAGGTAGCAATCTAGTCTTGGGGTTCAGATAAAGGGCATAAAACAGCTTGGCCTTAAATCTTACTTCTTTTCAAATCGCCTTCAGCAATGGAGTTTCCAGTTATCGACTATCTCAAGATTGATCGGTCTTTGCTTTGCTATGGTCGTTTTCAACAAAGGAAAGTTTAAAAAGTGATAGTTTTAATCTACAAATGTTTATATTGCATTGCTTTCTTTTAGTTTAAATGAAGCCAACTGAAAAGTTGTACGGTGATTTCCTATAAAAAATAAAGAATGTTAAATCCTTGTCTTCTTTCTGAAGACAGTAGAGATTTTTTTCTTTTGAAAAGTCTGGGACATTATCAGACCATTTTCCAACTCAAAGTAAGTTTCTCAAACTTTTTTCCATTTTTTTATCTTGACAATAATATTAATTATAATATTAATCCTCGCATTTGATATAGCACTTTTATCACATTGTCAAAATGTCTCAAAGGGCTTCACAGGACTTACCGTAAAGTTTAGTGACTGCATATTTGTAGGCGTATATGTGGCAGCCAATTGGCGTACAACAGTCAACCATGAAGTAAATGACCAATTTTATCTGGGAGATTGTTTGCCAGAACAAACTCCCTTCTCTTTTGAATAATGCCATGAGATTTTTAGTGTCCATCTGAACAGGCAGTCAGAACCTGGGATTAACATCTCATTCCTTGACAAAGTCATCTTTTCTCAACGAGACTTGGTGGTACAGACACACTTTCAACCCTTCAGACCAAAGTCTGTCAGACAGGATGCTCCTAGTTGAGCAAATTTCCTGCTGCATGATTACCATAACTTAATGATTTAACCAATAATCTATTGTAACATATGAAATTCACAATTGCTGCCCCTTTGGATTAATATTTCACTACTTACTGTGAGACTGCCACAAGATTCCAGGACAATTGGGACGGACATCTTGCCTTGAAGATTAAGTTTGGTGAGATAGAATACCTTTTCACCAACAATCCTTTCTTTTTTCATGCGACGTATACTGTAGAGCCTAAACCGCACTGCGTAATTACCAATCATCTCAGACTCAATGCGATTGAATTTAAAGGCCTCTGTGAAGACAGGGCAGGGCCCTCGCTGGACACACGTTTTTGATCTTTGTTTTTTTGTGGGGAGAAGCACCAGATGGACTTGCCACGAGCTGTTGCCAGTTCGGTTGTGTGTTGGAATGTCTGTAACAGCTGTTACTGTTACCATAAGTTTCTGTGCTTGTGAGTCATAATCAAAAGTGACATCTAATGTGCCATACTTAGACACAGGTTCTGGGTCAAAAGGTTTTGGGAGCTGAGCAGAAGATCCTCTAGCAGACATGTCCTACGGAACACAAAAGAAAACTTTAGACAAATAACATAAATTCTTTACAAATGTAAAACATTTTTTAGAATCAGCTTCCACATAATCTCTAGCAGGTCCTTTTATTTGTTATTGTTAGCGCTAAATAGATGCCTTCAATTTGGCATTCACAAAACATTTCCCACAAAATGGAATATTCAATAACCTAGTCATCAATCATTTTAACCTTGAGGGTTAATGAATGAAGCAATATTTTACTGCATACGTTCTTGCACTATGTCACATATGAATTTAGTTAAGTTGTTGATGTGCACTAGTAATAAAGTTCTAAATGTAAAACTTTTATAGATTAAAACGTGTAATTTATACAAATTAGGCAGTTTAAATGAAAATTGGTTTAGCAAATAAACAGCAAATGGTAATCAATAAAAAGCTCTTTGTTATGGGTTGCGACGCCAGAAATTTCTTCGAGGATTGTTGGGTTCCCAATTTACAAATGATGTGTCGATGAGGTGAATAATATAAAGTGGTATCAACACTAAATAACTATATAACTAATATAAGGGAGATTAGTAAAAATCAATAGTGTCTATCCCGATTACAAAGAAACCTAGTTTGTTTGTTAGGTCCAATGTCTCAGGAGCAAAATTATAAGCGAGGTATGAAAGAATGCCCGACTTCTGAAGTCCCTTCCTTTGGAGTGATGAAACTGGCAGTGCACAGGAAGGCTTGTTAGCAGCGCATCCTGTGCATGATGCAAATGGTGCAAGACGTAATATCAGTGACAACAGAAAAAACACAGAAGTCAGGCATTTTCTACGGTGGAAAATAGCTAGTCAGTGCCAGAGGCTGGGACTACCAAACCTCTGATTAGCACAGAGCTAAAATAGATCCATGCCCTAAGCAAAGCAGATGCTATATCAAACGGCATTACAATTGGGTTCTCCAAACAATTAGGGATGGATTTTAACATGCATGAATGCAAGGTGAGGTACAATGGAGTAAGAAACATGATGTGTAATTGATACAATTTGCAAAGCTGGAAAAGGAGAAAGACTTGAATGTAATTACATATATCGACCATTTAATCAAAGCATATGAGCAATGTTTTATACGTTATAAACTTAGCTAATCAAATAGTGGAATGCATCTCAAGGGCATCGATTGTAATGTGAACTAAATTATTCTTATATAAGTATGATGAAGCCATAATTACAACATTGTAGGCAATTTGGAGCATTAAATCTTCAAAAGAAAATGTGTATGTTGAGCTGGGTTCAGAGAACAACAAAGAGGATTCTGGCACTTTGAGTGCAAATAGTGCATCACAGAAATATCATACCACTGAAAGAAGTTAGCCAAAGAAAATGTGAGTATGTGCCAAGCTTAGATTAGATACTCTGGAACTTCACACAACACCATTGGCATCTAGAGAGAAAATTGTACAATCTTTCCTCGGGTGATTAAATTCAACAGTTTAAATTGGGCAAATTCTACATGATCGGTGAAAGGAATTCGCCTGACAGATCATTTCAGTGACTTTTTCTTGGTTTCATTCTACCATTTGTTCATATGACTTAATTTTTTATTGTGAACAGAGGTATGAGAGAAATAATCTAGAATACTGTGGAAGTTGATAATAATAACTGCCTTAATTCATTCCAGACAGCTATGAAAAGGTAAAACCTAAACTAATTAGTGATCAGAAAAAGCACTTTGACCCACCAAAGCTCATTCAGATGTTACATGAACTCTCCCATCATGGCACTTATTTGTATTTTGAATAATCCCAATGTTTAACTTCTATTACCTGGGAGCTACCTTTACAGTATAACTATTCAAGTAACTTAAGTTTTTCCGATACCATTTCAAAATGTATGTTTCATTGATTTTCATTTATGTCCTCCAGTTCCACATTCTTGCCTTACTTTGAAATAATTTTCTGTCTTTATGTACATATACATTAAATGATGAAATAATTATATAATGAGCTCCTAATTCTCTTTGTTCTAGAATTTAAAGATTAAGTTTCTTTAACATTCAGCACTCATCTCTTTTATACCTGGGATCAGAACTGTTGTTCTGTAACTGCAATTAGATCATTTATGCAGCATGGTAAGAAAAAGTGAACACACTATTCTAGGTACCATTTGATCAAATATATCAGACTTATAACCCATACGAAAAATTACCCTTCTTATTCGTAAACTAAATACTGAACAACAATCATCTGCATTTTGAAATTTACGTGAAACATTTCAAAAGGAACAAAATATTCCCAATCTTAATTTACAACAATAGTTTATTGATAGTTGTAGGTTTGTGCCAATAAGATGAAAGGTGACAGTACTTGGCAAGGCTTTACCTCAAATTTACTTCAAGGTATCAAACACTTGCAAGTCGGATAGATTAAGTTTTAGATCTATGTAGATGCCATTTCCCTACATCAGTAAATTGCCTCAACCTCAAATGCATGATCAGCAGCCATTACTTCCCCTCAAGCATATTTCCATTTCTTGTATTATCCATTCCCGTGAGTTAATTGGGAACACGACTGTAGCTTCCAAAATTATTTTTATTTAGAGCGAGGATGCTTTTGTTTCATCTGTCTGGGCTGGATTAAAACAAAGGACCCAAAGTTGAAAGAGCAATGTCCTGATCCTGCACCACCCACACAGCAAATGCTTTCAGTAAACTGAATAGTGGGTTTTGACCATAAATATAATCTTTTTTCCTTCTTGCCAAATTTCCTATTTTAACAATAAAAGATCAAACATTATTCCTTATTATAAAAATATTAGTTATCTGGCATTCATGGGTAGTTCCACATTTTTGCTACATATTTTATTAAGATTTCAACCCAAGATAATTCTAGTCTTTCCAGTTCCTTTTTGGCCTAACGGGTAAAATGACCTAGACTTTATTGGGGTTATATTGCTACGTTTTCTGGTTAATATCATTTCAGAAGACAGATGCTGTTGTCTCCTAGAAGCTGTAAAAATGGTAAAGATTATGCCTTAAGAGGAAAAAGTGTTCTCAAATAACATCAGATAATTGATTAGAGACAATTTTCAGACAGGATTACAGTAATACCATAGTAGTTTACTTAACTTGACATGGGAATTCGCTATCAGTTCTGATAACCTTCTTAAATCATAGCTTTACTATTTTGGATCATCCATTAAGCCTATATCTACCGTTCATGAAGCAAAATATTTCAGACTCTTTTATAAATTCCAAAGTAGCATCATGGCACCATGTTTATTGGAACATAAAGTTGTTCAAATATATTTAAAATCCATGAAACATCCAAAACCAACAAAGTTTTTATTTTAGGGAAACAGCTCATCGAACCTCGGTAGTCTTGATGGACAGTGGTTGGCAAATTAAAAACAGAGAGTAGAAAAGTTTTTAATCCAGGACTGTTTGTGTGAAATCCAATGCATAAGTCCTCTTTACATTGTTCAAATAATATTTTCTGAAAACTGCCAAAGTTAAAAAAAAACTCAGTAAATATCCACACTTACTGTCCATTATTCAATACTGGTTTCCATATGTCAGTAAATCATAGCCTTAATTATTGCTGTATGATTCAAAGCTATATATATTAGCTGTGTATCTTGCTACAATTTATAGCTGTAACTCTTCCCAGGAGTAAAACAGATCTTAACTGATGTGTCAGCAATGAACTGGGATATCTGGGCTGGTGCTTATCAGTTTGTGCACAGGCTTATGCACTGGAGCAACTGTGTCCTCAGGTGAGATTCCTGCTCTCAGAAGAATTAGAACAGAGATGCCAGACAATCAGTGCAACCCTGGGGCCAAATATGCATATTATACTTGTCCTAGCATAGAATAGCTGCAAACTGCTAGATCCAATTTAGAATCATATGGCTGATGCTATTAAATTTAATATGCTCTTTCACTTATTTTGCAACTTAACTTTTTTTCAATAAACATTGCATTATCACACATGGCTGTTAAGCAACAATGGCTTTGGTCAGTGCACCATGTCACATTTGTGATCCCTAACAAGATGTTTTCTGTTCCCAGTTCCCAAAGGTTCAAAGAAGGCAACTCCACAGAGAGAAAAAAACTTAAGTGTAAGCGAAAAAATGTTAACAGACACCTGTTTGTGGCCACAGTAAAATGGCTTCATTCTGGAGCAAATCACCTGACTGCTCTCTCGATTACAGAATAGTGGTTGGTGGCATGGCGGGGAGGCAACAAGCAGGATAGAATTACTTTAAAAGTGTGTCTGGCATGTTGTATAAATATGGATGCTAGCCTCAGAGCTTTCTTCTTTAATAATTGGAAATATAAATGTACAAATGAACAGACAGCCCAGGCAGTGTCCGAATAGCATGAAGCAAGGTGAAGAAGACTGTTGGATTAACTGTAAGCTATGTGAGGCAGCTGTACAATAATGGATTTTCAATATTTATTTAATTTTATTCTTAATAATTACCAGGGATATTTACAGTGTAATATAATCATAAAGAAAAATGTGCATCTCCATTCCTATTACCTCTGGACTGAGGATGGCAGTGCTGTCGCTGGGAACGTCCTCCTCGTATCCCTTGTGATGGTAGCCTTCTGTCTCATGGCCTGGGCTTCCCTCGCTGGGGCACTTACTGTATGAGCAGCGAGGACTGTTACAATCTGCACTGGAATGGGACAGTTCACACTTGCTGTCATCAAGCTCTGATGGTGTGTAAGAGAGATGCGGTGATCCATTGTCGTCCTGATAGGGGGGAGGTTGGAGTTCATCAAGTGGGGGTGTCCTCCTCATCCTCTGAATACAGTGCTCTGATCGTTAGAATACAACATTATAAATTATTAACAATAATACAAATACGTCTTAATCATTATATAACAGGTAACGATGTACTAATAATCTGGTGGTACCAAATTTATTTAAAATAAATGCATCTTCTAGACCTTTCAGGTAAATCTTCATACTCTATCCAATTTTTGTTTAAAAATTAAAGAAAAGTACGTGTTCTCCTCCAATACATCAGCAAGGTTATCATTCAGCGAATATCTGAGGTCTATGCTGAATTAGCTGATCTCAACTGGACAGTTGAGTTGGGTTCTCATATTGCTTGGTATTAATTATGGGCAATGACTCTCAATATTGCTAGTCAGCTTCTTCATAATGTTCTTTTACCTTTTTTTAAAAATAAAGTGGGTTTAAAACTAAAAAAAATGAGAATGGGGCAACATGGTGTGAACAAGATGCAATTTAATAACTCAAATTCAAAATGAGCACACTGAATGAGTATACTGGGGTCTCACAACACCAACAGTGTTTTCATTGTTTCAGCAGTCAAATACTATAATTTACGTATTTTGTGACACAAAGGTCAAATAAATGAAAAATATTTTTCCAGCATAATAATAAATTGTTGTACTACATATTATCAGATTGGTATTTGTATATGTATTTTATATAGTCAATCGAAAGTTACTGAAAATTGAGTTATATATCAGGCTTGTAGAGTTGCTAAAGCAGATCAGCACAGTAGACAACCTTATTTCAGTGATTTCTATTCCTATTTCAGTGAGTGAATAGTGAACCTGTGGAACAGGCTCCCTATGGAGATGGTTGAAGCAGGAGGTATTGATTCTTTCAAACACAGATTCTTTTACGAAATAACATTATGGGATGTAGTACATAGGTAGTTTAGGACATATGTGCATGCGATCGCCAGGAAGGTGGAAGGTGAACTTGATGGACCTCTGTCTCCTTTGGTCCAGCATTTCTTATGTTCTTATATGTTATGTTGAATCATAGTGCTCGTCAATTTTACAGTTCAAACTGACAGCCAAACTGACAGAGTTTGGCTGCCATAAAAGCAAGGAATTACCAAGAGCCATTATTAACAAGATGTGACACAATTGTACTTTGTGGAGATCAGTAATGTGATAGTGAATGTCAGCTCCAATCGCCATATATACAAATATACTGAAAATATGCCATTTTTATGATGTTGAGATTGTTTTCATTATTTGAATGTCTGCTTGATCTCCAGGTAATAAAACTGTACGATTATTGTAAAGCTGCATTTTACAGTTCACTACTTTAAAAAATACGAAATCTGGAATGATCCATTTTGAAAACAATCAAACTCCAGTTTATTATCAGCTTAAAGTTACATTATTACTTGGGCTTCAAACATTTTTGGTCTTGTAGGCACTGTGGCTATCCACAAAAGTGATGATACTTGATAAAGCTTTAAACAATGAAGAAGTTAAAAGTACATTGCTGTTCCAAATGCATGGATTTGGAATTTTTTTCATAGTTTTATTCTATTTGAAAGCACTGGAGTTATGATTCTGGAGCTACCATAGTCAAATCTACTCGTCATCCATACAAATGATTTTGAAGAAGATATCATTGAAAAGTCTTCCAGAATGAATTCTGAACAATTTCCCATTCCCTAGCCCAGGCATTTGAATAAATCTTACCCCATTGGTAAGCTTGTTAAATGTGGATGGAAGACGTTCAAAGAGAGTTTCAGCTTGGAGTACTCCCCTCTGCAAGGTGGTATGATGAAGAGCAAGCACAATTGATTGGAATCGTTTCTATATTTTACCCTCTATCTATATCAATTTGCTTTTCTTTTCCCTGGGGAACTGAGGTAATGCAGAAAAGTCATGTGCCAAATCCCATTAGCAGGTCAAAGAATGCTGCATGCCCTGAGAGACAAATAGAGACTCACTCCATTCACGTAAAAGACCGTTTTCTTTCCAGTTCAGAGTCAGATCATCTCAATATACAATAATCTCAGATCAATTTAAATATATTACAAATGTTCCTTTCTCACAAAACATCATCAGAAGTCATCGCAATAGCTGCGTAGAGTGGATACAGCTGGAGCTAGTACAGTAAACTCCAGATAAGTCGACCCTGTCTAACTCATCACTATCATTTAAGTCGTCATGACATTAATATTCCAACTGTTTCCCATACAAGCTATTAATAAAGGACTTTGCATGACTGGTCACTCTGCTTAATATGTAAGTATCATTTGTACAAATTCTTGTAAGTATTTCAATATAAAATTGATTGGATAACATGTCCTACAAACAAGATGGTGACACTCATGTTTGCATCATTGCATCACAGAGACCTCTGGTCTACTGGAGGGCTGCGCCATGGCCTCCCGCCCTATCCTGTGACTGGTTATGGCTTTCAGTGCCAATTGGGCGCACCTGCTCAGATGTTTTGTCATTTTTTTAAAAATGTAAAAAAGTATGCAGTACAGAAAGGTATTATTACTTGTTTCATTTAAGTGTGGAATTCAGTCCTCAGAAACATAATTTAATTACTATAATAACAACAACAAGATTCCATTTATAGAGCGCCTTTCACGTCGGGAGGACGTCCCAAGGCGCTGGACAGTTGGGTCAGGACCCGAGCCTTGGGGGGAAAATGGTCAGGGTGAGGGGAGGGAAGGGAGCGAGGAGGGGGGAAATGGTCAGGGTGAGGGGAGGAAAGGGAGGGAGCGAGGAGGGGGTAGAGAGTCGAGAGGGGAGCTGAAGGCACGGTCAAAGAGAAAGGTCTTGAGACCGGCCTTGAAGGAGGAAAGGGAGGAGGCAAGGCGAAGGCAATGGGGATGGAGTTCCAGAGGCCCGGCCACCGATGGTAGGGCGGTTGGGGCGGGGGATGTGGAGCAGACCGGAGCCAGAGGAATGGAGGGTACGGGCGGGTAAGTAGGGGGACAGTAGGTCGGAGAGGTAGGAGGAAGCAAGGCCGTGAATGGCCTTGTAGGTGAGGATGAGGATCTTGAATTCGATCCTCTGGGGGATGGGAAGCCAGTGGAGGCGAGCGAGGGTGGGAGTGATGTGGTAAACTGATACAATCAAAAAAATCATAACTCCCATGTTTTGGGAGAGCCCTTAGAAACCACAAGAGTATTCAAGCAGCGAAGCATTCATCACCCTGTCAAATGCAGCAGCCCTGGTGGAACCACTCTGATATCATATAAAGTTTAAACATTGTATTATTTCTCCCTCCACTAAGAATAACTAAATAAAACACCCTAGGCCCCAAATTCCTGTTTGTTTAAAGCAGAAGAAAAGTCCCTTTCACAAATGGTCTAATTTCATGGTAATAATAATATTAATAGTAATGACTTTGGACAGACAGCGCACAGCCCAATGGACGAGTGACAATTTATTCCCTTAAATCAAAACCTAACAGCCAATGAGCAGCCAACTTTATTCTTACACTGCTGAAGTGCCTTAGCAATCTCACATTTGAATTGAATGAACCATATCTGTTATGTGTTTCATCAGCTCTCAAAAGTACCACTAACAGAGAACTCATATCAAGGGGGAAAATGATAGCTTGCTCTTCATAACTTACACCAATTATGTCAAATCTCCATGAACATAATACAATGGATATAAGAGCACTTGAGAAGGCAACCTTCAATGACTGAGAAACAACTGCAAACAACTATTGTTGCATTTCCAGACGGAAAGAATATTTCCGAGTTAAAATTATAAGTAATCACAACGGTGCCTACACTCACTTTTCCAACCTTAACACCTAACTGGAAAGGGAGTGGGGGAGGCTTCAACTGAAAAAGCACAATGAAACTATTGTACTTTTGACATCACTTGCTCTGTTATGGAATTTGTGATCCAAAAGTGTAGAAACAATTTTAACTAATCCAGAATGGTACAAGTTCACAATGAGTTTCCAAAGTTTAAGATGATGTGATAGAATTACGTGCACACACAGTTACATTTATAGTGAACTACTTACTGTTTTTCTAAACTTTCTCTAAGGTATAAGTGACACTAAGGTATGGTGGAACCACTCTGATATCATATAAAATTTAAACATTGTATTATTTCTCCCTCCACTAAGAGTAACTAAATAAAACACCCTAGGCCCCAAATAGGTCTTCACATGCATAGTGTTCTTCAGTGTTCTTCAGGGTTTATTCAACAAGTAAATTGGTCAATTGAATTAAATATACATGATACACATCACATACTTGGTATTTTGTAACCTCAAAATGGTAACACAAAGTTCCTTTTGTATCTCTGTTAGTTCTGAAATTAACTGTATTATATTAACCATAGACGAATCATAAAGGATTCCCCTGAAAGGTACTTACTAAGATGAATTTACTTTTGCCAACATTTTGAATGTAGATTGATCACATCAGGGCATGTTTTTTCCAGAAGCAACTCCAACAAAGATAGCTTTGTTGGGCACAATAAATGTTTAGGGTGAGGTGATGACTACTGTAGAGATATATGTTCTTACTTCCAGTGAACTGGCTTCACAGTTTCTTTTAAAAAAGCAAAACAAATAGAAGTTAAAGAAAAAACGGTATAGTCTGAGCCAGCAACTCAAACGGATTATGCTTTCTCCCAAAGTTTTTTATCCAATCAATCAACCTCCTTCACCTTTTCCTGAGAGAATCACTTCTCTGTCCACTGACCTTAAACAAAGAAAAAAAGATTGCTCGTGGGACTGAGGTAAACTCTGAAGCTGCTCAATACTTTATTCTCACTGTTTTCCCTTTTGTTCCTTTTTTTCAATTGAAAAGGGACAAGGTTCAAAATAGGGACATCATCAAGGTTTAAAAGATTCGGCAAGAAAGTATGATAAATAAAAAAACAATGCTTTGGCAATGTCGAGCTTAAAAATCCATCATTGGTAGGTAACCACTTGTACTAATTGTACAAGTGTCAATTGCAGTGACTATAGAGCAGGTCTGTCAGAACGATCAGTGGTTGAGCATGGTCAACTATTATCTGCAGCAATGGAAGTGTACTGTAGC